TATATATATATATATATATATATATATATATATATATTGTTATGTATGTATGTATGTATAGTGTTATATATCATTAGAAACCCTTTCAATACAGTTTAGGGGAGAAGCATGAGCAATGCCCTTCCCCTCCTTTCCCATCTAAAAAAAAGTAGTTTTAAAATGAGATTTTAAAACTATCCAATTTCTCATAGAAATGGATAGATTAACCTTAACAAAAAACAAGAAGAAAAAAAAATTTACTAAAGTCCCAAATTTTGCAACTCACAAAACTTAATGTATCTCTTTAACCACTTAGAATTGTTTTAAACTTGCACTTTCTATTTTGCAAGTTACAAAACTTGCAGTACCTGTTTTGCAAGTCACAAAATTTGAAATACATGTTCTTGTAATTAATAAGTATTAATGTTTTATAGTATCTGCATAATGGAGATTTAAAATACCATCAGACAAAAATTGAAATAAATACTGAAATATAAATTTAAAATAATAATTAATTGCAACATTTTAATATAAATGACAAAAATTGGGCTGTTTAATTCATAAAAGTTTAATACTAAGGTGTTATTTAAAAAATGAATTAGCTCAAAAAAATGATGTTGTTTATTAACGTAGCTGTGTGCTCAGTTAAACACATGTTTATTAAAAACAAAAAGTTTAAAAAATAAAGTTTCTATACAATACTGAACTTATTACTGATTTTAGAACAACTAAAATGATTATAAAATAAATGCACACAAAATATGGGTCAAACAAAATGACTGGTATATATATATATATATATATATATATATATATATATATATATATATATATATATATATATATATATATATATATATATATGTGTATATATATATATGTATATATATATATATATATATATATATATATATATATATATATATATATATATATGTATATATATATATATATATATATATATATATATATATATATATATATATATGTATATATATATATATATATATGTATATATATATATATATATATATATATATATATATATATATATATATATATATATATATATATATATATATGGGCAATTCCATTTTTAACTTTCGTTACACGTACAACAACTTTATCAATGTTGGTCTATTTAAACTGTAAATTAAACTTTTGTTTGTATTAGAAACTTTCATAAAATGTTGAGAATTCTATACCAATTTAAAAATATATAAAATTTATCAGAGGTGACCAGCTAAGGAAAATAAACTGGTTTTTTTGATGCTATATATTTAAATTATATTACATCACTTACGTTACTGAGCGATTATTATCCTGGATTTTTTATATCTATTATTAAAAGTTTGAGTTACGTAACCAAAGAATTGCAAAAGTATGGAACTCATTCATTAAAAAATAATTAAAAAAGGAAATTTTAAAAAACTGGAGGCACTCTTCCTTAATGATTTTTCATAATATTTATGAAAGTTATTAAATCGAAACCAGA